TGTAGTTGTTGTAACTATGATTGTGTAATATTTAATGTTTAGTAGTTAATAATTTCTGTAACTGTGTTTGTAATTATTTTAGTAAGATTTGTAAAGTTGGAACAGAGTAGTCAGTGCCATTAATGCTCTGAGGTTTGCTAAGTAATGCAATTGTTATTTTGAAATTTGTTTGGATATAAATCATGAAGGTGATATTGTGTAGGTAAAATATGAAGCAGTATTTTGATTTTAAAGAATTTACTTTGATTAAGTTGAAAGTTAATATAATTGTTTGATCTTTTTATATTGTTGTTAAAGTAGAACCATGTTGAGTTTTAATCAATCTGTAATGATAATAGAATAATATTATTCATTCAATTTTGTGATGACCATATAGCAATAATATAAGCATTGCAGATATTTTTGATAGCTCACCTTGTGGGTTGTTTAATTGTGTATTTTTCATATTGTAGAGTATATGAGGTATTGTATAGATTGTTATGAATAAGTTCAAGATATGTGGTAGAGTTATAATTTATTGCTAATTTATCAGCTTCATTATTGAATGTATTATTGTTATATATAAAGACTTTGTAAAAAGTAATAGTGTGTTGGTAAGCTTGAATTAGTTTGAGTAATGAGTGCCAGATTGGCTAGTATGAGTAGAAGTATTGTTTATGCAGTAAAATTATATTATTACTGATTTTGCTGTATTTTGTTATTATTGATTGAAAGTTTGTATATATTTGTATATTGCTGTTATATAGGCATGTACTAATAGTAGATAGTATTGTTATAAGCTTTGCTTTATAAGATGGTGGCCAGAGCTTAATACAAGAAGTTTATAAGTGAAATATTGTATTGTTGTGAATTTGTATCTAGCTAATATTCATAGAACATCTGTCTTAGTAAGGTTTGTGACTGATCCAACTGTATAAAATATAAAGTTAGTGAATTTTTTGTTAAAATCTGCAATTTTTTGAAGTTTAATAGAGGATGAGTTAACTTGAAATAAGTTAAATATAGGGGTATTAGTAAGTTAAATAGTAGGAAGTGAAGGAATTGTTAGAGGATTATGTAGAGCAATAGCATAAATCAAATCTAAGTAGTTTGCATGTAAGTTTAGTTTGTTTGTGTTATTATATCCTTTTTGGCCAAGAAATTTTGTTGCAGAATTAGCTGGAATATCAAATATACAGTAATTTTGAATTCTGTTAGTATTGTGTATATATCTTGTATATGAAGCACAGTCAATAGTTGGAATTGGATATAAACTAGTATGAGAGGGGTCATATTCTACTGACCAATATGTATAATAGTTTAATAATATCTTATAAAAAAAATAAAAAAATATAAAAATATAAAAATATAAAAAATATATATAACAAAATAAAATAAATAATACAAAAACTAGATATTTCAGATCAAATGTCTAGACGACCTATTGCCAACCTTGACAGAGTTAAGCAAAAGAAGATCAGATATATATATATCAAATATATGTATAATTTGTAAAGACAAAGAAAAAGACCTAGATCACCTTGCCAATTGTGAAGATTATCAAAGTATATAGAGCATCATTGAAGATGAAGCAAGCAAAGAAGGTCCCAAGTATTACAGTGAAAAGAATGAGAAAGAAGACTTATAAACAAAGAAAATGTCAAGAATCTTTTCTTCAGAGAATCTCAAAACAAAAGAATAGAAACAAGAAGGTATTGGATCAGAGGTCTCATACTCAAAAGAAAGAGAGAAAAAATCAGAAAAGAAATAGGAGATGATAATATACTGCAAAAAGTGCTTGATGTAATCAAGACAAGATTCAATGAAAGGTTTCAAGAGTATATATGAAACTTTAGATATGAATTGGTTAATGATTAGGAAAAGAAACACAGGATCACAAATGAAGCTAAAAAGAAAAAATAATACAAGAAGAAGAGAAAACCTGTGTAAAATTCTAAGAACAAAGAAAACAGAATATTAGAAAAAGAAAAAAGAATATTGACTAAGGAAAAAAAAGAAAGACAGATCTTTAAGCAGATGCAAAAAAACAATCAAAATCTTTTCTAATATCATATCAAGCCAGACTGATCCTCTTGGACCCATATTAAAAAGAAAAAAGGTAGTATTGACAGTTATACTATAGAATTCCAACACTCAAAATCCTGATGCTTAAAATCCTGACAACAAAATTCCAAAACACAAAATCCTGACAAATTAAAATCTCAACAGCATTAAAATCCTGACATTCAAAATCCTAACACTTTCAAAATCTTAACAGAATTAAAATTTCAAGCTAAAATTTTAATTTTGTTGAGTTTTAAAAGTTTCGAGATTTTGAATGTCAGGATTTTGAATGTTGAGATTTTAATGCTGTTGGGATTTTAATTTGTCAGGATTTTGTGTTTTGAAATTTTGTTATCAGAATTTTAAGTGTCAAGATTTTGAGTGTCGGGATTCTGTAGTATAACTAGTACTAACAAGGTTAGCAACTCTCAGCTTATAATCAGAGAAAACAAACTTTAGAAAGTTGAGGATCCAATGTGAAGCAAATTAGCTGCTTAGACAGGTCACACCTGGGTGTTTAATGCTGAGTGAGTCTTTATTAATACAAGAATTTAGTATAGAATGATATATTTGTAACAAATATAAAATTTTGATACTTCTGATTAAAATAATAAAAGCAGAATCGCCAAAAAAAAAATAAATAAAAAATAAAAAAATAAAAAAATAAAACAAATAATTTCAAAATATCCAGATATTATATACAAAAAAGATACTAAAAAAATCAAAATTATTTAATTTATTGCAAGAACTAAAAAGACAATTAGAAAAATACAAAAAACTAACAGCAAATCCAATTTGAATAATTTTTTTAAAAAAAAACAAAAGAATAAACAAAATAATATAATAAAAATCCTTTGGCAAAAATGTAGTTTAACTAAAAATTTACTAATATATTAGTAGATTTTTTTGATTTAGCTTGTTTTAAAAAAGTTATTATAATTTAAAATTTTATTAATAAAAAGTGAAGTATATAATATTGATCATGCATCGATTAATATCGCAAAATTTGTCCAATTGGGCAAATGATTGGCTGACAGTGCCACGCAGCGGCACCCGATATTTATCAACGCATAACTCAATATTTGTGTTATCTGGCAATTTATGATCATGATTCTCAAGTCGTGATTTGCTAACTGAGTTTTAATTCAAATAAACATGATCATAAGAGTTTGTCAAATAATATCTTATATTGTTTGGTACGTTGCAAAAAATATTTATTAAATATAAAATTTTCTATTTATAAAAATAACAAAACATGTATTCTTTCAATACCAAAAACAAATTAACCTAAAATATTGTATATAAAAAGGGAACGCCTATTTCCACCATGAAAATTTGCTATTTCCACCATGCTTTTCATATGAGTTTCGGCTATATAAGCATGATTTCGCTCTAAAATGTAAGTAATTTTCAAATTGACATAAATTGAGAAATGACGCGTAACATTTCCACAATTTGACGTAATTTATCATGATAATATGCTCGTAATGTTTATGTAGCTGAAAGTCATATGGAAAGTATGGCAGCATGGTGGAAATAGCAAATGTCCACGGTGGAAATAGGCGTTCCCTATAAAAATTGTACAATTTTAACTTATAAAAGTTTCAAGTTTACAATTTAATATTACAATATTATCAACTTGGTAACATAATAATATTTAATTTTATAGCTATTACCAATTTTATACTATATATTACAATTTATACATTTTGGACCTTCTGGTAGCAGTACTGTGTTCAATATATATAGAATTAAATAATATCAAAATATATGTTAAAATTATTATTTAATATACAGTATATATTTTGTGTCTTGCCAAAAACATTATTCCAAAAATTTCATTTTTAATTTTTACTTTTCATATTCTGTTTCTTTAGACAAAACTGGTATGTCATCCAAAGTATTAAGATCCTTAACGATTTGAATCTATAATTAAATATGTATTATTATAGTATATAATTTACTATAAATTATAGTATCAGCAAATAAATAAAACAATTGTTAACCGCAGCTTTTTTGTTATATGCATAGAAATATCCATCTAACTTCACAGTTTTGAACGTAATTGCATTAGTATTTTTGTTTAACTAAACAACTATATCTACTCTTACTATTTTCGAAAATCTTTAGATTTATTAACAGCTTATACATTGATTGTTGCGAATTATAATAAAATCGGATTAAAACGCAATTTAGAGTTTCTATTTAACCTCTTAATACATACTTTATAAATTCTGCCCTAAAGCTGACCTCTAAAGCCGAAAAAAAGCTAAAAACACGTACCACAAAATTTTGTATTTTTTCGGAGTCTTGCCTATTTTACACTATACAAAATTTCATTTTAATCTACCACATTTATTGTTTGTAAAATGGTTTACACCCAAAAACTCTTCAAACATTAACATGAAAAATATATAATAGGAGAAAAACACAATACCGTATTGTCGCAAAATAACGCACCCCGGCGCGTTATTTAGAGTACGCTCCGGGGCGTTATTTTGAAATAAAATAAAAAATTTTAAGTTTGGCACTAAGTAAACTTACTTCCGAAGCATTTTTTTGGAAGCGCGTTATTTAGAGACGCGCCGGGCGTTATTTTGAAATCATATATTATTTTTAGAGGGTACGATTAGTGATGTGAATTCTACCAAATTGGCATGTTTCTACCGGTATCTACCGGTAGGTGGTAGCTACCACTACCGGTAGTTTACTAGTTACATGATTTATTTGACAAATCATATACTTTTTGATATTTATGATTAATTATATATTTTAAAATTTTATTCTATTATTTTATTGGTATCTACCCTGCATATAATTTGCCTACCGGTATCTACCGGTAGATACCAGTGGTAGATTCCTACCGGTAGCTACCAACTCTAGGTACGATTTTCTAATAACGCCCCGGCCTGTTATTTCGCGACAATACGGTAACACGTTTTTATAATAAATGGTTTTCAAAAGTAGTCCACCTGCCTTATCGGAATACGCAAAAATACGTTTATGCTGTGGTGAGGTAGTTTTGAGATACTCTTATCATAATCGCAAGTATCTAGTGCCTTTGAACCATTTTCAGAATTGCTAAAATTTGCATTATTAGGAACCAGTCAATTAACCTATAAAACATACTGCAAAATATGCTAGGGATCTATTTTTGTTTTCGAACTAAATAAAATTTATAATTTTCAAAATTCTATTTACAATTTACCCTTTTTTTTTTCCTCATTGAATAACTATTTTATGCTATGAACAATCAATTACAAGATTTCTTACCACAGTTCAATAAATTATTAAAAAATGATTTTTTTTTTTCAGTAAACTACTTTTAATATAAACAAAAAAAAACATCTATTTGAAGAATTAGTAATCTTTTCTTTTAATTTGTCTTATTAAATGTTCACCTCCATATCTATATTCAGAGTTACAGGGATTACATAAGCATTCATGAAATCCACCTTCGATCTTTTCAACTTGTATAGTTAGTTCCTCTAACCCTTTTATTTTAGAATTTAGAGCTTTGGTAACTTCTTTTATTATAAGTTGTTCATCAACTTCGTTTGTGACTTGAACATGTATGCTACCGATTAGACATTCTCCATCATTAGGCCAAAAACGTGGCATTGTATAAGAAATAATTCCATGAATATGTGACAACTGTCGAAATGGAATGAAAAAAAATATAAATAATGTAATATTGATAAATATGTTAATAAAAATAATTTCTTTTACCTCAAGCAAGCCTTCAGTTATTTGATACTCGAGCTCATCGTTAATGGTGAGCATTAATACAGCAGATGAATGCTTGATTAAAGGCATGACACTCATAAATATTAATGCAGCGATCAATATAGAAGCCAATGGGTCAAACCCAGTCCAACCAAATTGTTGGATAAGAAGTGTGGAAATTAATACTCCTATCGATCCAAACGTATCAGCCAGTATGTGTAAGTAAACGCCTACATATTTTAGAAATAATGTAATCTTTAATTTCCATATGATATAGAAAAATGAAGTTTAATTATTAAAATATGAACCTTTCATGTTTGCGTTATCACCATGGTCATGATAATGATGATGATGATGATGATGATGATGTCCATGCACAATATGATAGCCATGATCGTAGTTATTATAATTATGATGAGAACTATGCTTATGACCGCCGTGACCATGAGAATGCCCGTGATGTCCATGTTTAAATACGAAAACACCAATTAGGTTTACAACCAATCCAATAAAGCTCACTAATAATAACCTATCAGTTCTCATTTCAGGTGGGTCAATCAAACGACCAACTGCTTCAAACGTTATGAATATAGAAATAAGAATTAAGAATATCCCATTTGCAAATCCAGAAAGTGTCTCAATACGCCTATAACTATAATATTATCGGAACAAAATCGATTAACTCTGATAATCTCAAAATTTTGAACAATCGTTGAATGATACATTACCCATAAGTGAATTTATTGTTCTCAGGCCATTTACTCATGATAGAGGCAAACAATCCAACGGCTAAAGCCAGACAATCAAAGAACATATGTATAGCTAGAGTAAACAAATGTCAGTAATAAGAACTTAATAATAAGAACTCAAAATAATAGAACGATAACTAAACATGTATACCAAAAACTCACCATCAGAAATTAATCCTAAACTATTAGTCCATATTCCATAGACCATTTGGACAAGCATATAGCTTAAATTCAATAAAAGAAAATAAAATATTTGTCTGGAGTCATCATTATCCATTATTGTCTTGAAATAAACACCTAAAGATTCTATAACACCAGAACCTTTAATCGAAATATTCGCAGAACTTACACTACTATGAAGTGGAAGTTCGAATGCTCTGTTACCAATTCCGGGAGATGGAAATTGAGTTTCATTAGCGTACCGTACATCGGACGCTATCAGATTATAAATTCCAGGAAACATAATGCCGCACAACAAAATATCTATTATTGAAAATTCTCCATAAAACCAAAGAAGTCCCAATAAAATTGCACTCCCAATAGATAAAGGCCAACCAGTTGTGACATGAAAGAGTGGAGAAGCATGAATACTGACAGAATGACTAACAAAATAATCAATTATTATTAAACCAATTCCTAAACATCCAAACATCATGATGGTAGTTTTAATGTTCATTATACAATTTGTTGAATACTACGATAATGTAAAACAATTATGAATTACAAAGTGACATAGATATTAAGTGACAAAGTGACAAAATAAAAATAATAATAAAACATTTCATACCATAAGATATTGGACAAAAGCCAATGGTGATATCAGAACAGCACCAAGTGGCACAGCAATAGCTGTTAACCGGCGATTTCCACCTACATCAGCGGCTAATCTTTTCTTCATTGTTCGCTTATATCCAGACAACCAAACAGAACACAAAATAAAAAGATAACCAACTATTATGTTATTAATATCATCATTTTCAAATTTATCAAAGTCTTTAGGTATAGTAGAGTCCGTGCCCTGTGATAATAATATAGAAAACTTAGTCGGTTTGCCTAAGTAAACAAGAATGAATATATTAGTAAATAATAATATCAGCCATACAAAATTAATTTTTTGGTTTTCATAACCCGACCGGGTCAAAATTTTGCTTTTTTGGCTAATTTTAAAGTTTTATACGGTATAATATCCAGTGGTGTTGTTTTTTAAGAAAAAAAATTGTTTCTATTGTTAATTATAAACAAGATAAAATATAAAATTAAAGCCGGGTTGTCAAGTTCATGATATGAAAACCAAGAAATTATTTGTATTGCCTAACAAATTATAATAATAAATTGAAAATGATTATTACTTAAGGAATATATACAATCTACAATGAAAGAAAGGAATAGGGCAGACAAAGTAAGATGAGCACCTCGAGCCTAAATTATAAAATTAATAAATTACTATAGTTACGACAATTACGATAAATTTAACAATATATAAATATAATAAAAAATATTACCGTTGACATCAAATTAGACGACGAATGATTTTTCACAAGAAAAGCTATTAAAGATATGCTCCATATGTCAGAATATTGCGTTAGAATCAAAGTCCTATTCATTTGTCAAAATTGAATATTATTAATGTGGTAGATTCGCCAATTCTATCGCATAAATAGGTATAAGACAATTATGAAAAAAATTTTATAACAAATTTAATCCAATTCTTCAATTACAAAAATTGTACCTTGAAGATTTTAGCCTTGACAGACCCATAAACCAAAAATACATTTGAGTAGTATATATTATGGTATATAAAGCGACCTTTGGCCACTACAAAAAAAATAAGGGTTTAAAAAAATGATCGATATAAATAGAAGATTGTAAATAGGGTACCTTTGTACTACTGAGAGCTTTATGACCACCCATAAAGTTCTGCCATGCTAATAATATTAGGCCAGCACCACCTAGGACACCAAAAGTGACAACAGAAACGGGAGCACCACATAATAGAAAACATTCACGTGCTATATGAGTTGAAAAAGCAAATATTATCTTTGAAAAAACAAGAAAGGCGAAGAGATATAGCGGTATACTTATCAAAAAGAAATAGATCAATAGGTTATTTAATAATCGAAAACTACGATACATTAATTCAATGCATAAATAAGTAATAAATTATATACTTTGAAGGAATTCGACCATTAATTTTATCAATATTTATTGTACTTCCACGTTTCGTGGGAATAGAAGAAAACTTTGTATCGTTCATTGAAAACTTTCTAAAATGGCAGTTGAAAACTGTTTATAACTTTATAGGTGGCACAATACTGTAATACCGCAATATGGGTAATATCCGCCGATTTGCGGAATCACAGCATGGTGGACAATCCTTTCCAATTTGAAATTGTGACTCAGGGTCAATCTGTCCAATAAAAAATCTAGGATCGTCAATCACATGAAATTAAATAATTGGTTATCTTCTAACACGTGAAGTTGACCAATCACATTTATTTATAATCGATAAATTTTTTAACAAGATCGAAGATATCTCACGATCTAGTGATTGGAATTTAATAATTTGTATATCGTTCGATTCGTCTCATTGAATGTTACAAAAATTGTTAATTCCAACCACTCGTTCATGAAACATCAATAATATAATTCCCAATTTTACTTATATTTATCTTAATAAAAATTCTGTTTTCTCTACGTACAAATTTATAATCTCTACATAATCTAACCAGTAAAACATATTCTTTCAAATTGTTTTTATATTGTACCTTAGAATTACAACGGTTAAAGTTTAGTAAAAATCTAACTTAATATAACAATAATTCGTCATGTTATAAATTTTATATTTTAAAGAATATAAAAATGGTTAACTTTTTACTCGGTTCTTTGCATAAAGTTATTTGAGATCATTTTGTGCTTCGTCCATGATGTACCGGATCTTAGTTACATACCGTTTTCTTTTTATTTTAACGCTTAAATACCTTTGTTTTTTCGGATTATGAATTAAACTACCACCGATCTCTTATAAAACTTGTCTCTAAGAAACTTTTTAAATATTGTGATTATTTTTGATTAATTTTAAAGGAATATAGGTATTCGAGAGTTACCGTAAAACGCCGTATAAGGTACCCCCCTTGATTTGTACCCCCCTTGATTTGTACCGGGTATGTTTCAAGGTTA